AAATTAATGTCCTAAACACTAAGCCTGAATTCACCATCATTAGGAACTTTTCTGTGAAACAGTTTAGTGACACTGATAATCCTAGGTACTTGTTAGCTAATTCAAGTACCACTTAAAAAAAAAAAAAAAAAAAGATGAAAAAAAAAAAAAAAAAAGATGATACTAACAAATATGTATACAATACTAGGGCGTCCTCTGTCTTTTCTGTAACTATGCTGCATTCCTTCAGCTGTTCACTGAGAAGCTGTGCCTTTTTTTTCTTGTATTTCACTGTGAATATTCCCATGTGCCTAAATTATGAATAAACTCAGATTGCCTTATAAATATATTTATGGGATGCTTAATTCCAGATTTTGTGTGTGTGTGTGTATATTAACATACAGAGAAAGGACATCAACAGTTTCAAAATATGTCCACTTCAATCTTTGTGCATTCCATTTTTGTTCAAAATTCACGTAAATATCCAAAATGGCCCATTTCTCAGTGGACTACAGTTTATTTTCAACTCTATAAAGCGTACATTTTAAAATAAATCTATTATGCATCTTAGGAAAGAAAAGTTTCATAGTTTCATATTGGAAGCTTTGTTAAGCATTCCATAATTTTAAAAAAGTTATGATCATTTTATGATTTAGTGTAGGAAAAGGTTAAAGCAACTACAAAACCACTTTAAATGTTGACTAATTTATTAATAAATGTCACTGTATGTTTACATTTGTGAACTATTTCCTAGATTTAGACCTATCCTCTTACAACATACAATATACCACACATTACAAGCCAGTGATGTAATTTCCAGTTTGAAAATATCCATTATTGATTGCATGCCTGTCATGGACCAGACACCATACTTAGCACTGGGGATAGAAGAGGGAGCAAAAACATTCACCATGTACTGCTCTCATGGGCCATATAGACTAGTGAAACCATATATATATATACACACACACACACAAATTATATTATAATATAATATATATAACATATTAGTGTTAAATATAGTAAAGATTTTCAACCCAGGACTTGATACAATTTGATGAAGCTGCTTTGTGTAAAAATAATTCATTTACCCCCAAGGTGTTTATATGACTCTTATGGGGAATTATGTACTGAGCAGAGACCATACTTTGAAATATTTAGTATTATAATTTAATTTTTGTTACATGATTTTGTCAGGAGTCATTGTCATTAGCAAGCGTGATGTCAAACTTCTCTTTGACAAAAAATTAACTTCATTTAAAATTGTTTAAATGTGCAGCAAAGATGAATACATACATCATTTTCTACATGACATAGGAAACATTTTCCAAATATTACTGAAGATACTATTTTTGTATTTAAATAAATTATATTTCAATAATAATGAAGTATTTGATTTTCAGACATAATTTTAAACTTCTCATTTGTAAACTACAATCCAATTTCCATGGTGAAACGTAATTAATTAGGTTCTCTATACATTGGAACCCCTGATCACCCTGTAAGTTCCTATGAAAATAAGTAAAATAAAATTGTTCTGAATTTTGTAGTTGTTATATTTCTTTTAACTAGAAATTGCCTTTAATTTGCCAAATTATAAATTAGGTCATGAAGGAGATTAGAAACTCAGACAAAAGGGAGGTGAGTTTCACAATTTCAGGCAGTTTGGGGGTACTGGTAGCCCCTAAAATTAAAGCTACCCTTCTCATGTCTTAAATTATGGGCATGCTATTGTGTGCCTCTCTGGGTAGCTTTCTGTATATCTTCTTGCCTATATTTCTCCTCCATAACGAGCAAATTTCTAAACTATAAGCCTTCTCACAACACTCAAAAAAGAATCTCTGATTTATGTTTCACCATCTTCGGTGCACTGAGCTCTCTTGAATAAAGAAAACCAACTTCTTCAATAGGCTTCTCTGTAGTATGAACCTGTTTGGGTATGTTTCTTACAGAATAGTACTTTAAAACACTAGAACACATTTCTCATTCTAGTTCACACTACTTGTAGAACATAGGTGCGAGGGGCAGTGGACCACTTCATCTGCTGCTCAGCATCCATTCCCATTCTTCCTGGGAACGAGGATTTAAATTTCCTTTGGGAAAACACTGCTCTTTCATTCTAAGCCTGGAATTGGATGGGACAGTTCTCATTCCCAGGACAGAGGCAGATTCTGATTGGCTTAAATTAAGTAGGCTGCACTGTCCGCCTATCCACACAAATTTTCTCTGGGATGAACAAGTAACGTAATAGAAGCCAATGGGATGAGAGGTTTCTGCAAGAGACAAGCTTTCATACATCCTACAAATGTGGTCCTGTGAGGATGCAGAGTTCTATCTTGCAACCTGGGGATGAAACTGACAGATTGATCCTAGGAATACTATTGAGCCCTGGCACAAGTGGGAACAAAAACTTAGCCCTTGAACCCTCAAATGTCCTTTTTTAAAAAGCCATTTAGAGTTACATTTTCCATCACTTGCAATGTAAGGAATACCATATATCAGTGACATCTTTTATCAGAGTAAAGCAAGCCAAATAACATAGAAACCAAAGACAGAGCAGATACATTCTTCCCCCAGAGAAACAGAACAATGGACCTAATACCTCAAATCTCTGATTGCTGACTTTCTTTCCTTTTTTGTTCCAGACAATTTTAGGTCTTGGGTCTCCCGTAGCTTGGCAGATGAAAGAGGCAACTCCGCCAGAGACCCCTGTCTGATCAACGGGTGTTCGTGTAAACCTTGGAGGTGCTGAAATAAAAAATAAACACCACAGTTAAATTGAAAACTGAAACACAGACTATTATCCTACTACCACTGCTCTCCCCACCATCCTCAACCACACCGCCATCAAGACACACATTTTTAAAATGTACTATAGGATTACAAAATTAGAAAAGCAACTTTTACTTTTGGGGGTAGTTTAAAGGGGAAGGAGGTAACTTCCTGGTCAAGTTATCTGTTAGTGCTTTTATTGCTGAAATCTGTATTAAGGTAGAGATCCAATAACATCCGAAAAGCAACATCACACATTAATTTTTATTACCAATATAAAAAAAAAATCCAATTTGTCCTCTGTAACAAAATGAGCTCATCAATCAAAGTGAGTAAAATTTTAGCGCTTGCTTTGATGCCACTATCAGGACACTGCCAGAAAGCAGCAATGCCACTGCTGAGCTATTAAAATTAGTGACATTTAAGAGAAATGCTAGGAAATTTTAAAGAGACAAGAAATATAGCCCTGAATTAGAAGGTTTGGCAAGAAACAGAAATAGGGGAAAATGGTAAAGTGACTCTCTAACCCAGATATGGTAAGCTGTCTTACTTGAAACTTAGCTCAGCAATTTGCATAAAAGAAGATGAGTCAAGAAGCCTCCAAAGTCACAGCAAACCCAAGGATATTTTTATAGAAAGATGTAGACTTAAAGATTACCAAGGCTAGAAGGACAGACATTGGAAGCTTGTTCAACATCCTCCAGCTCTTTAAATGTTCCTAACATTCTTCCTCTTTCCTTAAAACACTTACTTATTTTTCATCTTGCATTGCAAGATCTAGATAGCTATCATGCAAGAATGATATAAAATGTAAATGAATATTTATGCACAAAGATATTCATCATATCATTTGCTTAGCAAAAGAGTATAAGTAGTTGAAACAAACATTATGGGAATTCTGTCAGTGAAACTATGGCATGAAGAAGAAACATCATACAAGTAGTATTATAAAGTCTGTATCATATCACATGAGAAATGCTGATGATGCAATAATCAGCCACAAAAGCATACTATAGAGTTATATGTGGGGATAGCAGATAATGAAAAACGCACACACACACAAAGACAGAACAAAGTAAATGAAAACACTAATAATGGTGTTCAGGAGGAGGTATTTTAATTATTTTTCCGACTGCTTCCATCTTTTATACTTCCTTGAATTCTTACAATTATGTCCTGGTTGAAAATGTTTCAAAGCCCCAAAACATTCTGCTGTCTGCTGTTTCTTTTTTTTTTTTTTTTTAATTAAAAAAAAAAAAAAAATCCCTGTTACAGATTTTCTCTTCTCTCCTACTGTGTTCTAGTTACATGTCATTGAAAAGTGGCTTTAAATAACCATAGCTAAAATTGATTTTGAAAACAATCCTCGGATTATAAAAAAGAAAAAAGTCATAACAAAGTTCGTTCTTCTTGGCTCATCACCAGTATTTTCTCTGTATAGATTTCACACATGGTGTTCCCATTGGCTTGATGGTGTGTTCTAACTCTGTTTGGTTTTCTTGGAGTCAAGGAAGCTGGATTCCTATCTAAGCTCCACCATTATGTATATGGATAATCTTGGAGGAAAAAAAAAAATCACTCAACTTTACCATTTCTTGGTATGACATATGAAACACATTAATTTACAAAAATTGCAAAACTATGACATATGAAATAAATTAATTTGCAGAAATTGCTTCCAGTTTCAAGGTTTCCTAGTTTTATATATTATTTCCAAAGGAGGAAAGCTTAGGAGAGGCATATTTGCAATGCTGCTCCTGGAGAATGAATTTCCACCTCATCAGCAAATTCAGCTTGTTGGTGATCCTGGAACTGGGGGCCTGCTTGTGATAAAAAATATTAGGAAAGCAAAACAGGCTCTAACAACCCTGCTAGATATCACAACCTGTAGCAACTCAGTGTAGTAAGCCACAGAACTACCTCGACGTGACTAGCGCGAACTGTGGCGAGAGAGATGCACTTAATTTTTTTTTTTTTTCCTTATATGGAGTGCTTACAACTCTGCTTGCCCCAGGACTGAGCGCCAGGTCGGCACAACGTGTTGGTCTCTGCAACCTCCCACCTTCCTGCGGTCAACATTCCTCCTGCCTCAGCCTCCCAACACTCGAGGCCTGGGACGACAAGGGTCACGTCCAGTCTACCACCCAGCTACCATTTGTTTGCGATCCTTTACGTATGAGACCAGGCGTATCAATCGACCTTGGCCAGCAATCGCCTCTCGATCCTCTTCACCTCGGCTCATCCCAC